TTAACAGCTACTGTATGACGACTTCAGCTACTGAGAAACAAGCAAATGTGAAAAGTGTAATAATCTATATTGTTTGAAGGTGTTTGTCTTGTGCAACTGAAGCGTATGAATGCAGTCAGACTGACCTCAGTATATTGACTGCAGCTTTTCTCTCCTGCGGCAGAAGATCTGGATCTCTCAGCACCTCCTCCAGCAGAGCCATCACAGCAGTCGTCAGCTCTGCGTTCATCTCAAAGTCCTGCAGAGACCAACACAAACACTTCACCATTCAGTGAGTACTTCATTATTATTATTTGCTTTTCAATAAAGACAACATACTGTACATAAAGCAGGTTTAACACTCGACGTGACGAAACAAAACAAGAGCTGAACCCAGAATAAATGTACTGTAAATGTAGTTATGTGAGGTGTTGTTGTGTGATTGTTATGGGTTTAATTGTACATCTTGAATTGGTGTATATGTTTGGAGTTTGGAAAAGATGGATTAAGGAGAAGAGGACAAAATATGATGAAAAAAAATTACAAAAATAATACGGGGGTAAATGATGGTTGGTTGAAGAAGGTTATTCATATGCAGTTGAAGTCAGAATTATTAGCACTCCTGTATATTTTTTACACCAATTTTTATTTAATGGAAAGAATATTATTTCAACACATTTCTAAACATAATAGTTTTAATAACTCATTTCTAATAACTGATTTATTTACCATGATGACAGCACATAATATTTGACTAGATACTTTTCAAGATGCTAGTATTCAGCTTAAAGGGCTATTTAAAGACTTAACTAGGCTCATTACGGACACGTACCCATGTCTACATTTCTGGGGGCAGCGAAATACAAAACCAGAGGTTTGTCTGCTTGCAGTTTTTGCAAATCCGCATGAGGCCACTGTGTATGCTTTTGATGATCTCAAATTTCTCTCGAGCATCCTCTTCTCACATTAATCCACCAGAGGGCGCATTATATAAACTATACAGCTCGCTGTCGACTTCCCCAACCAATAGTGTTTTTAAAAGCAATCTAGAAAAAGAAAAGCCGTCACTGCCACATGATCCCACCACGTATTCAGCCTGTTGTTTATTTATTTATTCTTGTTTTACCTGGTTTCTGGAACTGTCTTTGCCTGGCTCGAATCCTATTATCGCATACAACTCTGCTCCATGTACCAAGTCCGCCGAAGTACGCTACTGGACAAACTGGTATCATCGGAAAAGCCGTCCACATTATAGTAAACGGTCAGCTGGTAGTGCTAAAATGAACAGAAGTCGTCGGCTACGTCATACCGCCCCATACCGTTCATTTTAAAGATGAAATGCAGCCAGACGTACCTCTGGCTACATAATTCGCACTCTTCACAAATGTAGACAAGGGTACATATCCACAATGAAAAATATATCTTAAGGGGGCTAATAATATTGACCTTAAAATGGTTTTAAAAAATAAAAAAATGCTTTTATTCTAGCCAAATAAAACAAATAAGACCTTCTCCAGAAGAAAAAAAAAAAATAGGAAATACTGTACAAAATTTCCTTACACTGTTAAACACTGTTTGGGAAATATTGGAAAAAGAAGTAAAATTCACAGGAGAGTAAACAATTGTGACTTTAACTGCATGTGTAGTGATATGTGGCTCAGTTTCTGACATGAGTTAGCATCTCAGGAGCCCTCGGGTGGTAGGGGGGGGCTGCTGACATTTCAGAGCTGTCACTATTGCACACAAAAACATACTGAAGCCCAAAGCAGATCTGACAAACACTATGCTCATGAGGTGTGAGCCACGACACCGCAGATGAATGAACCTGTGGGAAAAAGGTCTGTCCTGATCCTGATCACAAGCTAAAACAAATCATAAACACAACAAACCAGCTTTAATGCCAGACACTACAGGCACCGGTCAAATTTACGAATTTATTTCCCTCAGGTCACCTCCTTGAGACTATACTGTACAAAACATCACTAAATTAACAATCATTCATTCATTTACTTTCGACTTAGTCCTTTATTAATCAAGAATGAACCGCCAACTTATCAAGCATATGTTTTACACAGTGGATGCCCTTCCAGCCGCAAGCCAGTGCTGGGAAACATCCAAACACACTCATTCACTACGCAAAATTGAGTTTTTTAATTTCCCCTATAGCGCATGTGTTTGGACTGTGGGGGAAAACTGAGCACCTGGAGGAAACCCACGCCAACACGGGGAAAACATGCAAACTCCACACAGAAACGCCAACTGACCCAGCCAGGATTTGAACCAGCAACCTTCTTGCTGTGAGTCGACAGCGCTAACCCCTGAGCCACCGTGCCACCCCAGTAAACTAACAATTTTTCGTATTTTGTGATTCATGTTTATTATTATTATTATTATTATTATTATTATTGTTAATGTATGCTTTTTAATAGCATTGTGGGACCTTGATCTTTCCTCCAACAAGTGTTCGATGTTAAAAAGTTTTAAAAAGTTACTTTTATTGACACTTTTAATAGTTTGATGTGATATTATCAGGGTTGGTGTTGTATATTATACTACAAAAACCTGGTGATAAACTGCCAGTACTTTTTGTGTTATTTTACAGACTTAACACTTTACATATTATTTATTATACAATAGATTGTTTTAAACCACCAAAACTTTAGCAATAGTCATTTTGATAAAACCCACAGTTGAATTTTCAACATCAAAAGTAGACAAACCAGAGATTAACATCCCATAATGCAATTCATAACCATAAATAAACAGAGAAAAAATATGAATCATGAAATACGGTTAATTAACATATATATTTTTACAGTGTAGTAGAATAAAAATATTCTTGAAATAGGCTCTTTTTGCAACTCCAGTTGAGTTTTATATTTTTGAATCTATTCAGCTGATCTTCAGGCCTGGCGACAGCACTTTTAGCTTAGCTTAGCATAAATCATTAAATCGGATTAGACCGTTAGCATCTTGCAAAAAATTATGCAGTGCCTGAAAAAATCTTCCAATATAACTTCCAATATCTGGACATTTTATCCTACACCTCAGATTATGCTACCAACACTTTAAACCACATTCTGCGCACATTACAAAATCCTGGCTACAGTAGATGAGGATACAGGTACTTGATTGGCCTGCCTGCAGCCCCGACCTGTCTCCAATAGAGAATGTGCAGCACATTGTGAAGCACACAATGCGACAATAAACACCCTGTACTGTTGCCTACCCTAAGACTTGTTTGCAGGAAGAACGGGACAAAATGACACCTGAAACACTTCATCACTTGGTGTCTTCAGTTCCTAAACGTCTTTTAAATGTTGTGAAAAGGAACGGCAACATTACAAAGTGGGAAATGCTTTACTGTTACAACTGTTTTTGAAATGTGTTGCAAAACCAAAATTGGACAATAAAATCACAAGGAACACATTAAATAATGTTTGTTGTATTGTCTGCAATGAAATACAAGTCAAAGTAAATTTGAAAATCACTACTTTCTTTTTTTATTTGGGTTTTTCATATTGTCCCAACTTTTTCTCAGTTGGGGTTGTACATTCATTCATTCATTTTCTTTTCGGCTTAGTCCCTTTATTAATCTGGGGTCGCCACAGCGGAATGAACCGCCAACTTATCCAGCACATGTTTTACGCAGCGGATGCCCTTCCTGCTGCAACCCATCTCTGGAAAACATCCATACACACTCATTCACACTCAAGCAAAATCCATGAACAAACCTGCGAGTGTTTAGAAACCCAGTGGCGCAGGACGTTGAGCACTCTGTTGGTGGCCGCCCTGCGGATGAGGAACTCTTTGTCGTAGGATTTCTCTGGGTTGGTAAATCCTGAATGAGAGACAGTGGGAGAATTGTGTGAGGGTGGAAGTGACTACACAGAGCCGACGGGAGGTCTGTTTCAGCTGTCGGAGCGCATCAGTGTCCTCTAACCTTGCGGGCTGCTGTGTCCGGCTGCGGCGGTGGCAATGGCGAAGGCGGACGCGGGGGACACGGCACAGCGGGAGTTATCAGGACACTGACCTATGAGGACACCACCACAGAAAAGCACAGTTAAGGGACTAAAGAAAGAGCTCACATTCATATTTCTTGGAATAACAATTAAAAATAATTTCAGTGAAAAGTTCAGTGCATGCATATGTCAGCATGTAATAAGCAAATAACTTTTTTCGTACAGCATTCTATACACTCATCATCGGCCACTTTAATAGGTACTCCTTATTAGTAACAGGTTGGACCTCCTTTTGCCTACAGAACTGCCTTAATCCTTTGTGGTATGGATTCAACAAGATACTGAAAACATATTCCTCAGAGATTTTGCTCAATGTTGATATGATAGCATCACGCAGTTACTGCAGATTTGTCGGCTGCACATCCATGATGCGAATATCTCGTTCCACCACATCCCAAAGGTGCTCTATTGGATTGAGATATTGTGACTGTGGAGGCCATTTGAGTACAGTGAACTCATTGTCATGTTCAAGAAAGCAGCCTGAGATGATTCACACATTATGACATGGTGCGTTATACTGCTGGTAGTAGCCATCAGAAGATGGAGACACTGTGCTTATGAAGAGATAGACATGGTCAGCAATAATACTCAGGTAGGCTGTGGCGATGATGCAATGCTCAATTGGTACTAATGGGCCCAAAGTGTGCCAAGAAAATGGGAGATACATCATTACACCACCACCACCTGCCTGAACCATTGATACAAGGCAGGCTGGATCCATGCTTTCATGTTGTTGATGGCAAATTCTGACCCTACACTCTCAGAAAAAAAGGTACAAGGTGGTACAAATAATGTTCCTTGAGGGGCAGTTTTGTACCTTTATTAAAGTTGTACCTTATATGGTACAGAAAATACCTCTTATGATACTGTTCTGTACCTTTTATGGTACAATTGAAATGAAGGTACATAATTGTTCTCATAAAAAGGTACACTCTCAGAAATAAAGGTACAGGAGCTGTCACCGGGGCGGTACCTTTTCAAACGGTACATATTTGTACCTGAAGGGTCTATAATGGTACTTCAGAGGTACTTTTTAGGTACATTTGGGTACTAATATGTATCTTTTAAAAAGGTACTGTCTCAGTGACAGCTCCTGTACCTTTATTTCTGAGAGTGTACATAAGTGTTGGACGACTCCTTCTTTAAATCATGTACAAATGTGTTTCTTTGTCTTAAGGTACAATTCTGTTCCATAAAAAGGTACTGCCCCAGTGACAAGGTTTTGTACCTTCTTTGGTACAACATTGTACCATTTTTTCTGAGAGTGTACCAAGGCTGAGAAAGATGGTACCTGCGGGCTGTCGGTAGCGAAGGTGTCTCGGGGTGGATGGGGAACGGCTTGGAGACATTTCTCCAGAGTCACTGGATGTGGGTGTCTCTGGAATGAACTTGTCCAGTGATACTGACTCAAGTACAGCTGTCAGGAAAATCATAAATGCTCAGTTATGTGTTTTGTATGACAACATTTTTAAAATTCAATCTACTTTATCATTTATATGTGACCCTGAACCACAAAACCAGTCATAATTACAGGGGGTTATTAACAATTAACACATGATCCCACCTTTAGGACGCCAAAACAAGATATATGGAGTGTCAGCTCCTTAATAGGGAGAAATAGTTTTCTCTGCTCTGCATGCACATATATGTACATATAATATAGGAAAACGGACAATTTTATATATGTCACATATATCAAAGACCTATGTCAAAACCTATATTAAAACCAATATGTTTATATAGGTTCTTTTGTTGTGGGCAGGGCCGGATTAACCAATGGGCCTTATGGGCACAGGCCCAGGGGCCCGTGGCCCCTGCGAGGGGGGAGAAAAAAAGACATTTTCAGAGTGTCTTTTTAGGCTAATTGCAAATAGCGCATCTAGTTGTAATAAGCTGTTCACGGTTTATGCCCATCGATGCCTGATTGACAGAGACAACATGAGTAAAGAGCGTATCAGCATTACAGCCTGAGTGGTGCACCTCGTAAAGCGTACAGCAGCATCTTTTGTCGCGATTGATCATCAACCCGGTTCGAATCCAACATCAGCTGAACTCGTGTTACATTTTTTCCAACCCAAGCTCATTCTGGAAACGTAGCCCTGCGGACGTTTCTGGAGACCGCGATTTACATGGCCGGAGGTACGTATGGACGCGTTTAGATTTTTTTGAGCGAACGCTGCGGGGCGGTGTGGCGCTGCTCCACCCCTCCTCTTCGCGCTCGCCGGCCGACGGCTCACCTCCGAGTGAAGGGCTTTCCCGATGCAACCAGTTTGACCGCTTAGCTCACAGCGTTGCGTCGGCGGAGCGGAGGCCCCGGAGGAGGAGCCGGCCGCGGGGACGACGACCGGGATCGAGTCCGGGGAACAGCAGGTTCCGGAAATCAGGTAAGACGAAAAACGGAATCCGAAAAATAAGGGTGAGAACGCGGCGGGATCCGAAAACGTGGACATTTTTTTTTTCTGGATGGCGAACCGTCGCTCGGGTTTAGGGAAGGAGGAGGAGGAGGAAGAGGAGGGCGGCCAAGTCGGCCGATCCGGCGGCTTTTCGCGCGATAACGGCGGGGGCGCAAACGGCGCGTGCTCCCGAGAGGCGCCCGAGACGGGAAAAAGCGCGCACAGCTGCCTCTCGCGGATCCGCGAAAACAAAAACCGCTCGAATACGTACCTCCCAGGACGTAAATCGCTGTCCGCAGAAACGTCCGCAGGGCTACGTTTCCACAATGAGCCCGGGTTGATTTTTTCTCCCCATTACATATCAGATTGGAAATATATTTATTTTTAACAGGAAGGAAACATTTTTTAATGCAAATATGGTATAAAGTCACATGTGCTTCGTGAGTATTTAATAATGTTTAGCCCTAAAGGTGCCTTCCTCTCTGCAAAAACTATATTGCTCAGACAACTGTATTTCCTCTGAGCAAAAAAATCGCTATCACATATTAATATTATTATTATATTTAAATTGCCTTTCTTTCTTTAACTAAAGAGAATGCTGTAATTGGTCAAGCGCGAAAACGTCAGTTTTGGAATAACCCCGCACTTAGCTGAGCGGACTGTAGTGTAATGTTAGTATTTTTCATAGATCAAAAATGAGTGAACAACAAGTGGATTTAGCAAACACGAGAGAAAGAGGAGAGGAGGCATCTTTATTGAGGGATTCTCCATACACACCTTCTTCAAACAGACCCATGATCAGGAAAATGAGGGTATAGAAGAAGATGTTATGGTACGTTAAATAAGTAGCTAGATTTAACCAGGTGGAGGAGGCTAACAGCAGCGCAACGCGGACTGGATTCATCATGTTAGAGAGACAGAGAAAAAGGAGAGAGAGAGGGAGAGAGAGAGAGAAAGGCCTTGAAGAGGAGAGAGACGGGAGAGAAGAGGTATAGTGTGTGGGAAGGGCATCTGCCAGCATAAAACATATGCTAGATAAATTGGCGGTTCATTCCGCTGTGATGATCCCTAATGAATAAAGGGACTAAGCCGAAGGAAAATGAATGAATGAATGAAAAGAAATCTACAATTTTGACCCATACCATGTATTTTTGACTATCGGCAATAACATATCCATGCAACATAAAACTGGCTCTATGGTCCAGAGAGTCACATATATAGTTTCAGCATCAATTCATTAAATGCATTTGTCATCTTTCTGCTTTTCAGTTAGAGGAAACTAAGGAAACATTTTACAATACAGGACACGTAGTTCTTGTTTATGTATTTACTAACACGCATACTCAAAACCCTCACCTCGCCGAATACTCCGCCGCAGTTTCCCACAGAAAGCATCTATGCGGGGCAGTTCTCCACCTTCCTCCGGGGTGGAGGGGCAGAGCTCCGGGGAGCTGGGGCCCCGGCTGAGGTCCAGAGGGGCTTTGGTGCAGGTGGGCGGAGGAGAGCAGATGATGGGGTTATATGGAGATGTTGGACTGCTGGCTGCAGAGAAGGTGGAGGTGGAGAGATCCAGAGCTCCAGCCTTACAGCTGACAGGAGAGCTGAGGGACAGCTTGCGGGAGTGGATGGGGGAGGAGGTGCGCGAGGTGATGGAGATGGGCGGAGGTGAGGAGAACTTGCGGGACAGCCGGGGGGATTTGTTGTTGAGATGCTCTCCGCTCCAGGGGCCCTGGTTGGTGGCGAAGAAAAGCTCCAGGGACCTGAGTTATTACAAACAAGAGGAAAATAGATCTCACCATCACATCTTCTGTTTACAAACACACAGGGGCTGCATGAAAGTTTGTGAATCTTCCAAAGCATAAAACATTGTGATTTGTTTGCAGATATCTAAGTGAACAAACTCGTTTATCTGAAAAACATGCACAAGTCAGTTCTTCTAGATAATGTGCATTACATGTCAGAATGTCTGTCTTTGATTTGGTCTCTATAACATACTGCCAGTTTACCCAATTATATTTCAACACACTGGGTTGCTTTGGTGGTGAATATCCATCCATTCATCCATTCATCTTCATTCTCTAATCTATATCCATCCATCAGTCTATTCATCCATCCATCCATGATATCTATTCTTCAATCTATCCATCTATCTATATGCATCATCTATATCCATCAGTTTATTTATCCATCAATCCATCTATCTATCCATCCATCTATATGCATCACCTATATCCATCTATCCATCCATCTAAATCCATCTATCTGTATCCATCAATCTATCTATCCATCTGTCCATCCATCCATCCATATGTCTATATACATCCATCCATCAATCTATCTATTCACCCATCCATCTATCTTTATCAATTAATCTATATCAATCCATCCATCCATCTATCTATATCCATCCATCTATCTGTTCATCCTTCCATCTATCTATATCAATTAATCTATATTCATTAATCTATCAATCTATCCATCCATCCATCCATCCATCCATCCATCCATCCATCCATCCATCCATCTATATTAATCTATCCATCAATCTATCTAAATCCATCCATATATTTATTCATCTATCCATCAATCTATCTATCTATCTATCTATCTATCTATCTATCTATCTATCTATCTATCTATCTATCTATCTATCTATCTATCTATCTATCTATCTATCTATCTATCTATCTATCTATCTATCCAACCATCTAAATCCACCCATCTATATCCATCCATCCATCCGTCTTTATCTATCTATCTATCTATCTATCTATCTATCTATCTATCTATCTATCTATCTATCTATCTATCTATCTATCTATCTATCTATCTATCTATCTATCTATCTATCTATCTATCTATCTATTCATCTTCATTCTCTAATCTATATCCATCCATCACTCTATCCATCCATCCATCCATTATATCTATTCTTCAATCTATCCATCCATCTATATGCATCACCTATATCCGTCAATCTATCCATCTATCCATCCAACCATCCATCTATCTATTCATCCATCCATCCATCTATCTATTCATCTATACCAACCATCTATATCCATCCATCTATATCCATCAATCAATCTATCTATCTATCTATCTATCTATCTATCTATCTATCTATCTATCTATCTATCTATCTATCTATCTATCTATCTATCTATCTATCTATCTATCTATCTATCTATCTGTCTGTCTGTCTGTCTGTCTGTCTGTCTGTCTGTCTGTCTGTCTGTCTGTCTGTCTGTCTGTCTATCTCAAGGGTCAGCAAGAGAGCGGAAAATTATCACCAAAAAATAAAAGACACTAAAGTAAACTTGAGTGATATTATGGTAAACGGACATGAGGAGAAAACAAGGTCCACAAACATGTAAAGCACACAGAGATGAGAGATGAGTTACTTGGACTGGTCCAGCGCAAGCCTCGTGATCTTCAGGCTGTAGTCTGGACAGATGGAGGTGATGGACAAACGGTCAGATGAATGATACTGAACCCTGCGAGTGACAACCAGGAAAGAACAAGGGGATTGTGGGAACACTGTGAGCTTCTCTATTCTGAAGAGATGGATCTGAAGTGTGGAAAGTCTTTGTACAACGATCGGTGTGCTGTCTTAAATCATATCCTTTCAAGATCAGAATAAAATTTAACAACCAAAACAAACAAACCGGACTTCAAGGAAAAGCAATGCATTGGATTCTTTTAAAGGGGCCTATTATGAGCCAGGGACTATAATAAGGTGTAAAGTAAGTCTCCGAAGTCCCTAGAGTGTGTATGACAAGTTTCAACTCAAAATATCCCACAAATAATGTTCTATATGACTATAAAACTGACCCTTTTAGGATTTGAGCAAAATTGTGCTATTTTGTGACTGTCGCTTTAAATTCAAATGAGATTGGGCTTATTTCTAAAGAGGGCGGAGCTACAAATGTATGTGTGTCAGCATAGTGGCAGACTCAAAACAGAACTAATGTTATCTTTGTGAAAAACTGAAAATGTTAAATGAAGTGTCTCAGAAAAAGGCAGGCCTAACCCTAGCCCTAACCCTAACCTTAACTGGAGGCCACACAACTGTGTTTAAACCCCTTTTAAAAGTGAGTTTTGCATAACTTTTCCTTTAAATATTAAAAATAACTGAATTAAAAAAAACACAAAAGGTAATTAACAACAAGGAAGGAAAAAATAAATGTGTGACAGTCAAAACATTTAGGAGAACGCAGGAGCAGGAGCTCTAACCTGACAGGTATAGACGTGAAGGGTTTCTTGTAGATGTCGGCCAGTTTGTCCATCACTACTGCGGCAGTGGTGAAGATGCGGTATGTGTGGAGGAAAGTGTTGAGGAAGTCGATGGACAGAAAGCGCAGGTCGGTCAGTCTTTCCAGCAGTCTCTCCACGCTGGCGTAGCGGATCTGTGGCACCTTGCAGGAGTTGAGCGTCTTGCTGAAGCAGATGTCCACATCGTCTTTGTGCAGTCGGGCGTCAGACCTGTGCAGGAGAAAATACAGGTTGAAGTGCTGTAGGAAGCAATCTATCTATCTATACTCATCCATCCATCCATCCATCCATCCACCTATCCATCCGTCCGTCTATCTATCTATCTATCTATCTATCTATCTATCTATCTATCTATCTATCTATCTATCTATATCTATCTATCTATCTATCTATCTATCTATACTCATCCACCCATCCACCTATCTATCTATCTATCTATCTATCTATCTATCTATCTATCTATCTATCTATCTATCTATCTATCCATCCATCCATCCATCCATCCATCCATCCATCCATCCATCCATCCATCCATCCATCCATCCATCCATCCATCCATCTATCTATCTATCTATCTATCTATCTATCTATCTATCTATCTATCTATCTATCTATACTCATCCATCCATCCATCTATCTATCTATCTATCTATCTATACTCATCCATCCATCCACCTATCCATCTATCTATCTATCTATCTATCTATCTATCTATCTATCTATCTATCTATCTATCTATCTATCTATCTATATACCTATGTTTCATCTATCCATCCATCCATCCATCCATCATCTGTCCGTCCGTCCGTCCATCCATCTATCCATCCATCCATCCATCCATCCATCCATCCATCCATCCGTCCATCCATCCATCCATCCATCCATCTATCCATCTATCTATCTATCTATCTATCTATCTATCTATCTATCTATCTATCTATCTATCTATCTATCATGATTGCTAAAGCTAAAATCAAATGATTGAAACATGATATAACACTGGCGTGATTGTGTGTTTTACTTGATCATGTGAGGCACGGTGACTTTCGAGTTGTCCTCAAACACGCTGTTCATCAAGCCGTTGCAGCGAATGTTGTCAATGCACTGTGAAGACGCCATAAATAGGAAGAAGAGTGAAACAGAATGTCAAATTAGTCTAACTGCAGCAAGTGTAAACTAGAACCATCAGCAAGTATTACCATTTTGAATGATCTGTATTTGTGTTACAGGTCAAAACTAGGAGCAAATTTTATAACAACATTATAATTTATTACCATACAAATCTATCATAATAAACATATATTTGTTATTATTTAGTTGTTATTATTATATATTTTATTAATATATTATTATATAATATATTAATAATATATTCATTTATTAATATATAATTATTATTAATATTACTTAATTAATTATTAATTTTTATTGATATTTATATCTAGTTATACAACATTAACGGTATAATATTACATTATTATAATTTATCACTATAATATAATAAAATAAAATTAATAGTAATGTTGTAATTTAATGATGTGTATTTGTTTATTGGCAGCGTATCATTTTATTCCATAATACATTATATGTAATAATTATATATTATATTATTTATATTATAATTATTATCATAAATTATTATATTATTAGTACAGTTTGTTTTGACATACAGTACGTGTGTGTATTATATATATTTATGTATCTTATGCACACACATAAATCGAAGCAAAACTATACAAAACTATTTTGTTACATAGATATTTAAACCTATATATAATTTGCATCATATACACATATATGTTATATCTAAACACATATAAACATTTTTCAAATATATGCATGTGTGTATTTATATATACATAATAAATATACACCGTACACACACGCAATAAATTTTTGCCCTGCCCTAAATATTATACAATTATAATTTATTATTATAATAATATCACAATTTGTATTTATGTTTATTTATACTTATAATTTATTATTGTAATATTATAATAACATTACAATTTATATTTATACATTAATTTATGTTTAGAATTTTAAATATAATTAATAATTATAAGTAATAAAAGTAATAGTAATAATAATAATAGTAACATTAATAATAATAGTAATGATAATAATATTAGTAATAATAATAATATTAATAATAATAGTAATAATAGCAGTGATAATAATAATAGTAATAATAATAATAGTAGTAATAATAAAATTAATAATGATGATGATAATAATAATAGTAATAGTAATAATGTTAATAATAATAATAGAAATAATAATAATAATGATAATAGTAATAATAATAATAGTAGTAATAATAACAAAAATAATGATAATGATAATAATAAAAGTAATAATAGCAATAATAATAATAATAATAATAATAAGGCCTTATTTTTCTTATTAATTTCTTACTGAAATTAAACTGACCAAAAGATCTATCAGTATTTAACAACATTTGTATATTGGTTCATCTCTAAGGTAAGGTTTACAGTTTTACAGATAAGTCATAAACATAATATGCAAAAAGCATGGAGGCTATTTAGATCAATGCAAATACAATGGAAACTTTTCACCCGTGTGCACTTCATGCCTGTTGATTTCCACCAAGAAAACAAGACCTTCTTTCTATTCACTTGACTCTTGAAGTCCTCTTGAATTATTTTTAACAATTACATTTATTTAATATAAAAGTCTTTTTGTTCTTTCACATTCATGCTTCTTATTAAAAAGACATGGTTGATTAATATCTATAATCGATAATATTGATATATATTAATCTAATTTATTAATTTTAAAATAAATACATTTTATTTTTAATACACATTTATAAATACTGTGTTCAGTATTTAATCTAATTGAATGGCTTTAAAGTAAATATGTCAAATTGAAATATTTTATAAAGGACCCTTAGCATATAAAAAAATAAAACCTACAGAATGTAACTACATAAAAGTCAAGTCAAGCTTTAAATAGGAAAATGATTGAAACTCTTTTTGAATTCTTGAGTGAGATGCTAACGGTCTTATACGATTCAATGATTATGCTAAGCTAAAGTGCTCTCCCAGAGCTGGAGACCGGCTGAATAGATTGAAAGATAGTAAACCTCAAAAGTTTAACTCTAGGGGACTTTACAGTTTTTCTTAGTCGCTTTGGTGCATTTCTCACAACACTATTTACATTTGCACAACAGGTCATGCATTTCTCAAAGCAATTAGTCATTTGTGCACATCCTAGTAGCAGTTTCTCATTCCTTTCAACAAATTGCAAATGCTTTCGGACATGCATCAAGTGCTTTCATACAACTCTCTGCTGTTTATAACATGATCATCTGCTTCTGTCATGTCAGTCAAAATTAACTAAACTTGTAAATGCTGAATAGTCATTCAATATAAAACTAACAGACCTCATTTCATTACTTGAGTTATTACATACAAAAATGTTGAACTTGATGTCAAAATCGGTCAAGCAAACTTTATAAAAAAAAAATTTAAACTTTATTTTCCTGAAAATGTCTTTAAAATTGAACAATTCGATGAATGATTTACAGACCTGTGTATGTTGCAGGTTCAGGTCCAATATGTGCTGCAATATTGTTTACAGTTGTGCACAGTTCAACCCAAAGGGAGTTTATGTTTGTTGTAAATAAGGGTGTGTTTATTCTTCTGCACAATGCTGTGAATAAATTAGGATTGTAAAGAGCAAATGCAGAGTAAAAATGTGAAACATACATATTCAGTGTCTTGTACTCAGATATCTCACGAAATGCATAGGATGTGCACAAATGACTAATTGCTTTGAGAAATGCATGACCTGTTGTGCAAATGTAAATAGTGTTGTGAGAAATGCACCAAAGCCACTGAGAAAAACTGTAACTAAACTTGTAAATGCTGAATAGTCATTTCATATAAAACTATCAGTCCTCATTTCATTACTTGAGTCATTACATCCGAAAATGTTGAACTTGATGTGTGTATGTTGCAGGTTTAGTTCCAATATGTACTGCAATATTGTTTACAGTTGTGCACATTTCAACCCAAAGGGAGTTTATGTTTGTTGTAAATAAGGGTGTGTTTATTCTTCCGCACAATGCTGTGAATAAGTTAGAATTGTAAAGAGCAAATGCAGAGTAAAAATGTGAAACATACATATTCAGTGTCTTGTACTCAGATATCTTACTAAATGCAGTGATGTCTCACTTTACTGTAGTTTTCAATTGGCTGTGCTAATAGTATACAGTGCTGTCTTGAGCATTTTCAGCAAGTGTCACCAAAATCAGACTTTTTTGCATTGAAAAAATGTCCAGAGTAAACTCATAATGAAAACATGACTAAGCCATTTGACTATCTTGTTCATAAACAATGGTGTCAGGACTTTTTATTTTGATGATACTGACACTTTGATTGACATGAATACTTGCTTTTGAGGAATGAGCTATCCATTTTGAGCATGTGACGCGCTTTTTGCAGGCTATCAGCTAGGTTTTTGCAGTTTGCACTAATTGTTTTGAGAAATGCATTAACTGTTGTGCAGAAATGCACTGGTGTTGTGAGAAACGCACCAAAGCGACTGAGAAAAACTGTAAAAATTAACCTATTTCCAAAATAAATGGAGTGTTCCTTTAAATTTAAAAGAAACTTTTTTTAATTAGCTATTTCTTTCTTCAATGAAAACAATACTTTAAAAAGCATGTTCTTGTTTGTTCTGAATTTCACATACTTTATAAAAGGCCTGAATGCGTGTGTTAAACGTGTAGACAGCACCTGGCTGATGTCGCTGGTCCAGGCTGCTTTTTCCTGTCGAGATGGAGCGAGAAGAACCACTGAAAACGAGGAACCATCAGCAGGTTCAACCACGATCTTAAACTCGAGATGATTGAGACCCTGACCAGCGGCATTATCTAAACAGAAATCAAATATCACTCTGTAACTTCTGGCATCATGTAAAATGTTGGTGCTAGTATAATAAACAGGGGTCATATTTAAGACTTTAAGGATTGAAAACACTTACAGTCTTCATCACTGGTGTCCAGTTCCTCAATAAGAGTACACTCTATTAGAGACAGTGTGCCTCCTTGCTGTGGATTTGAGGAATGATTATTCATTTTGGGTTTTTTTTCGTTGCATGAAATGATTAAAGACATTGCTCACCCAAATGTGTGAAATACTCTTTTCAATTAAAGTGGACACAGGATAATGACTTCAACATTGTAAAAAATATCCATAAGTTAGCAGTTTGTCCATGTTTCTTGTTTATTTATAGGATTATGAGACCTTTTAACAACTTTTAACCTGGAAAAGATAACTTTTATTAAAAATCAACACTCAATACTCAATTGGTACCCTAATGGACCCAGGGTGTGCCAAGAAAATATCCCCGACACCATTACACCACCACCACCAGCCTAAACCGTTTATACAAAGCAGGATAGATCCATGCTTTCATGTTGTTGATGCCAAATTCGGACCCGACCATCCGAATGTGGCAGCAGAAATGGAGACTCATCAGAGCAGGCAACGTTTCTCCAATCTTCTATTGTCCAGTTTTGGTGAGCCTGTGTGAATTGTAGCCTCAGTTTCCTGTTCTTAGCTGACTGGAGCGGCACCCGGTGTGGTCTTCTGCTGCTGTAGCCCATCCACCTCAAGGTTGGACGTGTTGTGTGTTCAGAGATGCTCTTCTGCAGACCTCGGTTGTAACGAGTGCTTATTTGAGTTACTGTCACCTTTCAGCTCGAACCAGTCTGGCCATTCTCCTCTGACCTCAGGCATCAACAAGGCATTTGCACCCATAGAACTGCCGCTCGCTGGATATTTTTGATGGTTGTGCGTGAAAATCAGTAAAGTCCTAGTAGATCAGCCAGTATTGGCCAGCCCAGTCACCAGTAATGAACATTATTGAGCATGTCTGAGGTAAGATGAAGGCGGAGGCATTGAAAATTAATCCAAAGAGTCTTGATGAACTCTGGGAGTCCTGCAGGAACGCTTTCTTTGCCATTCCAGATGACTTTATTAATCAGTGATTTGAGTCAGTGCAGAGATGTATGGATGCAGTCCTCCAAGCTCATGATGGAGTCAGACACAATATTCATTCTGTCTCCACTGCAGCAGGACTTTATATTCTATACTGGACATTATTCCTGTTCAGTGATGAGACTTTTGTCTAAGCAAAGTCAGACCTTACTGTCCTAATGAAATCATTAATAATCAAGGCATGATCATATTTTATTGTGGTCAAATAAGCGTAATCTAAAGGCCTTTGCCTTTTATATAAGCCACTTCTGATCCCAAATGATCAACTACAAGTCAAGTTATTATTGTTGTTCCTAAAAACTTTGATAGGTGACAAGACTTTTGTCAGGTAGTGTATAATCATCACTCATGCTGAGTAATACTGGGGTATAGAAACAAACAGATTGAATGATTGGAATATTTTGGGTGAACTATTCCTTTAAGAAACACAAAGCATGGCCTTGATTGTTTAAACTCCTGCAGTGAGTGTTGCTATTTACAGTGTGATGGACTCACTTTAAGCAGGTGCAGTTTGCCGCCGGAGGTCCGTGTGCAGATGAGGAAGTGTTTGGTGAAGAGGAAACACTGTCGTTCAGCTTCTTTCCTGAGCGTCAGCGAGCCCAGACGCACTTTACTCAGTTTACCCTTCTCCACAGAGGGCAGCTGAATGAGAGAGCCTACAGGAGAAAGCTCATTACCCAGAGCAAGGAGAACAGTATAAAGACAGAGTTTCAGCGCTGTCGCATCCGGAGCAGCTTTTCAGCGAGACGCGGCGCATTAAGATGGCACATTAGATCTCATTAGAGCTCATTTCACACCTTCCTGTCAGTGTGGAGCAGTGTTGGATGAGACCAGTGTTTGGGTGGAGCTGAAACAAATATCACACACTGATAGTCATGCAAAACTAGTGAATGACCTCAGTTATGATGGCTACTGATTAAAATAAAGGAATAACTTATGATTAAAATAAAAATGTAATAAATATTTTATATAGACTGATGGGTGAGTGGATGAGGGAATGGGTAAATGCATGGATGGGTGGATGAATGAATGAATAAACATGTAAATGAATTAATGGATGGATGGATGGATGGATGGATAGACGGATAGATGGATGGATGGATGGATGGATGGATGGATGGATGGATGGATAAACGCATCACCCATACAGATTAAACAGATTTGTGGACTGGTGTTAATAAACAAATGGGGTTAATAAATGAATGACTGGTGAGGTGGGTGAATGAGTGATTGGTTAAAACTGGCTGGGTTAATAAATTAATGAATGGATGAATGGAATTAAGTTGATGGATAAATGGATGGATTGGGATAAGTAGATGGACTGAATAATAGACGGAGGGATAGACAGATGGATGGATAGATAAGGATAAGTAAAAGGATAGATTCATAGATTAATGAATAGATGGATGGATGGATAGGTGGATGGATGGATGGATGGATGGGGATAAGTAGATGGACTGATTAATAGATGGAGGGATAGACAGATGGATGGATGGATGAGGATAAGTAAAAGGATAAATAGATGAAAGGATGGTAGGATGGGTGAGAGAATAAATGGATAAGTAAAAAGCATGGAATGACAAGTGAATGAGTAAATTAGGTGTATAAGTGGATGAATGAATGACTGGATGGATGGATGGATGGATGGACATAAATAAATATGGTGATGGATGAATGAAATGATGGGTGAGTGGATAAACTAATAAGTAAATAAATGCACGAATGAATGGATGAAGAAGTGAATGAGTGAATGGATGGAAAGATGGATAAGTAGATAAATGGATAGTGAATAGAGAGGGATTGGATGGATGGATTGGTGGATGGGAATTAGATGGTGGGTGGATGGATAGATGCATGTGCGTACAGATAGATGGATGTATGGATGGGTGAGTGGATAAGTGGATGTTTGGATAATTGCATTAAAGGGTTGATGAATGAACAAATAAAAAATTTAAGGAGCGAATGGATAGATGGATTAGTGGATAAGGAAGAGTAGAAGAATGAATGGATAGATTGGTGGATGGATGGATGGATGGATGGATGAATGAATGGGTGAGTGAATGGATAAATGCATGGATAGGTAGATGAACAAATGGTTGGATAAGTGAATGAGTGAATGGATGGATGGTTTAGTGGGTGGGCATAAGTAGATGAATGGATGGATGTCTAAATAGAAGGATGGATGGATGAATGGGTATAAGTAGATATATGGATGGAAGGATGAGGATGAGTGGTTGGATATATGTATGGATGGATGGATTAATAAATCAATGAATCGATGGATGGATGGATGGATGGATGGATAGATAAATCAATAAATGGATGGATGGATAAATGAATCAATGAATAAATGGATGAATGTAAAGATGAGGATAAGAAAATGTATGGATAAATAAATTAATAGATGGAATGATGGTATACTTATATGGATGGATGGATGGCAGGATGGGTGAGGGGATAAAAGGATGAGCAAATGAATAAAAGCATGGATGAATGGATGGACAAGTGAATGAGTGAATGGATAGAAGGATGGATGTGTTGGTATAAGTAGATGAAAGGATAGGTGGATATATGGAGATGAGTTGTTGGATGGATGGATGGATGGATGGATGGATGGATGGATGGATGGATGGATGGGTGGATGGATGGATGAATGGATGGATAGATGGATGGATGAGTGAGTATAAGTAGATGGATGGATGAGGATGAATAGTTGGATATATGGATTAATGAATGAATGAATGAATGAATGAATGAATGAATGAATGGATGAATGGATGGGTCAGTAGACAGAAAGAAGCATAAATGGATGTACAGATAAATAGGTGGATGGATGGACAGAGTGTGGCTCATCCAGCAGATCATATTACTAGCAATGTTGTAAAACAACAAAACAAGCATGAAGAAAATGAGTTGTAAATGTAATGCTCTGATCGTGTGTCTCACCCTGCCTTACAAACGTCTGACTGGTGTCCAGCAGGATATCACAGCCCTCCACAATCATTCGCTCGATCGCTAGATTCTTACGGATGTTTTCTGTGTCACTCACTTCATCGTGCATCATTCTAGGAACAAACACACAAATACACCGTTGTATCATCTCAATACTGACATTAAAAGTGGGAAAAATCTCTTTCTCCAAAGAAGTGTTCATGTTGATGGATTTGTTTGATATGATGGTTTGAAGCAAGATTAAACATATTAGCGACTAAAATCTTATGTCATTTACAGATACTGTAAAGTATGGCAAAACGTTTCTCTTTAAATAAATGCACAGTTTTGTATATTGTGTATTTATGGATCTAGGTTTTTAAGGGCTTATATAAGTCTATAATGATTAATATGAAACTCCAGAGCTAGAAAACCCAACAATAACATCATGAGGTTTCTTTGATGAACTTGTGCTGCAAAGAACCATCTATATAAATTCTTTCCTAGATAATAAAATAAATATCATATCCTCTCATCGTATTAGACTACTGAAGAATAGAGTAGAACGGTCATATGCTTCTCTGAAGGGTATTTTCTTTTAGCTTTTACTCACTTGGACAGTTCTTCTAGTTTGGATTTGGCAAATTCCAGACTCTTGCGCTCCACATGTTCATGAGGCGTGTGAGCGAGCAGCTCATGGAGCGTGATGATGTATCGTGGGATCTAATAACAATGGAAATAAGCAAATATTTCAATCCCAACAACAACATATTTCATTATTGTTTCTAACTGAATGCTGAAAGGAACACTCCACTTTTTTGGAAATATAACTCCCCTAGAGTTACGTTTTACCATTTGGAGCACTTTTAGCTTAGCTTAGCATAAATCATTGAATCAGATTAGACCATTAGCAGTACTCAAAAATGACCAAAGAGATTTGATAATGTTTCTATTTAAAGCTGGCCTCGTCTGTGGTTGATAATGATGATGATGAATATGATGAAAGCCTTTATTTGTCACATACACTGTTACATGTAGTGAAATTGGACCCCTCTGACCAAACAAAAACATCACACATTTCAGGGGAATACAGGTTAGATGAGAGGTAGCTTTAAGAAAAAGAAAATAAGATACATTAGGGAAAAGGGAGGCAAAAAAAACCCTCTCAGACTATCATTGATTCATGGGCTAAGACTATGTCAATTGCTATTTACTGTCAATATGGATAGGAACTATATTCTCATTCTGGCGCAATAATGAAGGAACTTTGTTGCTGTACCATGGCTGCAGCAGGCGCAATGATATTACGCAGTACTTGGAATTAGTTTGCAGCTATATAACTAGGTAACAGTGCTACATAATATTATTGTGCCTGCTTGAACCATGGTACGGCAGCAAAGTTTCTTAATTATTACGCATAAATGAGAATACAGTTCCTAGACATATTGATAAATATTAGCAACTTTTATCACAAAATAAATCTACAGAAGAATTAAATTGAAAGATTATTAAAATTTCAAAACTTAATCTTGTAACAAGATGCTAATCCGTTTCAATAATTTATGCTAAGCTAAGCTAAAAGATGCGGAAATCGACTGAATGTATTGAAAAATGCTAAAACTCAACTGGAGAGCTGTAAAATGAGCTTATTTACCCTAAAAGGTGGAGTGTTCCTTTAAATATGAGAGGTCAGCTGCTCACCTGAAACATGGGGTATGTGAGAAAGGTCTCCAGCATCCGGCCCTCACAGGCGGCGTTTGCTTCATACTGCTTCAGAAGCTTGTCGAAGTCTCGGTTCTGTTTACAGTTGGCCAGAACCTGCAAACTGTACTGATGGTTTCGCACAAACTCCTGATAAATGTTCAGCATTGGCAGCAAGATGTCGAAGAGATCCGCTGAAACATGACAGGTTGCTTTTCAGACATTTGCATCATGTTTTTGCTAAAGACTGTCAGACAAAAACGGGAAATAGAAGTGATCACGGCCTTTGGAAAGAAGTCGCGAGGCTTTTATTTTGTCTATGATTAATAGGATTTATAGGTCACACTTTATTTTGATAGTCTGTTTGTTGAATTAAGTTACATTACATCTACATGCCAACTACAGTACTCGTTAGAATATAAGTAGACTGTTAGGTTGGGGTTAGGTTTAGTGTAAGTTGACATGTACAGTACTAGCAAAGTTTGTTATGGATAGTTAAACATCTGTTGAAGTCTACTAATACTCAAATGAACCATTAGAATAAAGTGTTACCGATTTATATTCTGAATATGTTATATTTGATTTCTCTGTCATTCTGTTGTTCTTTTGAATTCTGTGTGCGGAGAAGAAAGAACACATCTCACGATAATTCGTAACTTTTTAATTTAGTGACTAATTTGTATGAATTCGTATGATCTCATTTGCACAATTTAGTATAGTTTGCTTATCCCCCGATGACGGTTGGGTTTAAGGGTGGGGTTTGGTGCCACACCTCCTTTTCAAATCATACATTTTCATATGAATATGTACAAATTAGCCACTACAAAATGTAAAATAGCTACATTTTCTCATGAGATCAGGTTGTAATATACCACTGTACATATGTATGGTTCTGTGTGACAGATATATTCTCTCATTCTGAAAACATACCCCATACACATTTTTGGAGAGTGCCAAATACGTCCCAGGAGCTATGCTTTTTTGTAGTTTTTGTTTTCAGGAATCCACCAAAGTCTACGCTTTTTCAGATCTCAAATTTCTATCGCGAGTTCCATTCTCGCCCGCTGTTCTCACATAAATCCACCAGAGGCCGCTGTGTACACTTTTTCAGATCTTAAATTTCTATCGCGAGTTCCATTCTCGCCCGCTGTTCTCACAAAAATCCACCAGAGGCCGCTGTGTACACTTTTTCAGATCTTAAATTTCTCTCTCAAGTGCCATTCGCGCCTGCTGTTCTCAGATAAATCCACTAGAGGCTGCTGTTGGTTGACTGACTGACTGACTGACTGATCTTACCACATTCTCAGCCTGTTATTTACTTGTTTATTTGATTTTTTAGCTTTTGTTTTTGTCTACCTGACAACCTGGTAACAGCGAAAAAGCCGTCCACACAGAGGTAATCAGTCAGCTGGTAGCGTTCATTTTAATGATAAAACACAGTCATACGTAACTGGCTACATAATTTGCAATCTCCAGAAATGTATCTAGGGGTACGTTTTCAGAGTGAGGCTGTGTTGATTTTGCAAAAAATGCAACTTGAAGATGGCAGAAAACTCACCTAAAACTAACGTCGGCCAGTTGGCTATCCGAGCCTTCAAGCCTTGGTGAAATATCTCATGGAGAAACATTATCGTCTCACTTACAAACAACAACAACAACAACAAAAAAAAAACAATTAGAAATTCAGAGTTCATTACTTTTCGAATCTTCAAAAAAGGAAGTACATTTCAAAACATTCAATGGGGTTATTTGAATTAGCAGTGCTAAAAGTTAACAATGTTGCATAAAAAAAATAAACCTGAAATACAGTTAACTTACAGTAAAAAATGTGTTTTAATTAAAGGTGCTGTCTGTAAGTTTTTGACTCTTCTAAAGCATAAAAATATCATAATATGTTTACAGATATTTCAGAAACATGCTAAGTGAACATACTTGTTTATCTGAAAAACAATGCTGAAGTCAGATATTCTGCTTTGAACATGTGCGTTACGTGCTTGAACGTCTGTCTTTGTTTTGGTTCTTTTAACCCGCCCACTGTTACTTTAGCCATTTGTAGTTCAGCACCCCGGATTGCCTTGGTGGAAAACTACGTATTTAATTCATTCTGTTCTAAAGGCTCTCAAAGTGTGCGTCCGTGACCGAAAATGTGACCTCTTGTGGTCAGTAGCAGACGAAATGAGACGCGGATTCAGAGTTCCACGTGAGGTGGCTATTAATTAGCAAATAATATAAACATTACAAACATTAGGTGAGCAGTTCACATTGTAAACCTGTGTCCTAACAACACGCTACATGAGGAGGCTTGCAGTGATGAGCAATTGGGCTTTTTGCACCAGACGAAATGTAAATACAGCCATTCAGAAGCACAGAATAGTGCACTGACTGCACTCAAGCAAACTGATAAGGTTTATAATCTAATAAATGCATATTAAACCTCTTTTACATTATTATGTAGATGCTGAATCACTGATATATGCTGGTTTGCACTGAGTCTCAGTTCTAAAGTTTAATTTCAAATAGTTTATTTCACTTTTAAGATCTGAGGTGAACTATCTGCTGCTGCTTTCAGTAGTATGGCAATAAATGTCATGTAAAATGGCATTAAAACTCACATTATTAGCATTTAACACTAATTAAAGCACATGAGGTGTACCTGAGTTGATCTTTATTCACATGTGAGAATTAGAAGCATTTCTAAAACAGAATTTCAGCTGTTGTTTAGGACAAAAACTCCTTTTAGTGTGGAAAATATTTCATTTATCATGTGCTGTTGCTTTTAGTTAGAAAATTGTTCAAATCAGCCTTTAGGCTCGATAGTCAGGCACACTCATGTCAATCTGGCAACCTGCACTTGCGTGAACCCATCAGAGGAGGAGCCAATTGAAAATGTGTTTTGATCCAGGAGTGCAATACCAAGTTCAACCACTGGGTGTCACACTTACACACTGCAATTTACCTTTAAAAATCACTGATGTTTTTGAAACCAAGTTTAATAAGGCAGAATTTAGTTTGCCAAATGATCTTTCAAGAATCATTCCAACGTGCAGATTTAGTGCTCGGTTGAAGCGCTAAAACCCCATTGTTATTGTCAGGGTTTTCATCATTCTGATGTCAAATTAATCAAACAGACTAAACCATAAGCTGCAAACCTGAGGGCATACTTTTTGTCAAACAGCTGGGGGGGCAATAAACAACATTTATCAAGATCAAATTTTGAAGGGCACATTTGTAATACAGCTAAAACTGTACTTGGTGTGTGTGTGTGTGCACATGTGATTGAAAATAGGAAAGTGGGCATTTGGACCTAAGCACTTTAAAGGGAAAGGGGGATGAGTCAAAATTAAGTTGAGTTGTAAAATGAGATAATTAAAAAAACAAAGTGTAGTGTTCCTTTAAGATCATCATGAGCACATGTATACCTATTGAGGAAGATGCTGCTGACATCGTCGTGACTGATGGGAGGTTTTTTGGAGCTGGCCGCCATCCGGAGCGGCCGGAGGAAGCAGTTGACCAGGATGGAGAGCTGGAGCACGTACTCCGTCTCGGCCTCCACCATGTTAAAGACGATCTGGTTCCTCTTCCTCATGCTCTCGGCGTGAGGCGAGCAGATGTAGTCCTGCACGATGATCTTCCACTTCCTCCTGCAGAGCCAGCCACGCATGAAGCTCTGCACCTGTGAGGAAACACGCAAAGCAGACGCCCAACAAGTGACCCATTTATAAGGACACAACTGTGATGTGTAAATAAGACAGAGTAGTGAATATCTAGACCAACCATCTTGATTTTTTTGATGTCTGGATCTTCTTCGTCTTGAAAGGACTGAAAGGGCAACATCCGCTCTTTTGATTTGTTCAGAACAACAATCTGTAACAGAGATAACGCAGTTACTTAATGGATTAGTTCATCACCTACTCACACTTTATGCAATCACAATCTGTTTGATCTTCTACCATTTGCAGTTCAAATGTTATTAGCTTAAATATGAGTGCAAAATTTGATCTGTGTTCATTTGGCGAATGCTAACATTAAATATTAGGAATGTAAACAGGCTCATTAACGTTAAAATGTGGACAGGCTCTACAATGGTTTAAGTCATACTTAGCTGACTGTTTGTGAATATTAACGCGCAGCCTTTACAAGTCAGCCCAGTAAAGTATGGGGTGCCTCAAGGATCAGTTTTAGGCCCTTTGCTGTTTACAATATGTATGCTAGCCCTGGGAGACATTATTAGAAGACATGGGATCACTGCTATGCAGATGATACTCAAATATATATTTCAACTAAACCAGATGAGATGTCTGAACTGTCTAAGCTAACTGAGTGTATTAAAGATGTTAAAGACTGGATGACCAACAATTTTCTTCTCTCAAACTCAGACAAAACAGAATTATTACCAGTGGCGTAGCGCAAAATGTGGAGACCCCCCTGCAGGGATCACTGACGGGGCCCCCTGATGATTTGGGTGTGGGGGGGGGGGGGGGGGGATCACAAATTGAGGAGCGGGGAAGGGAGGTGGGGTGGAGCTACAACGCGGGAAAGCCTTTACAAACTGAGGAGCGATCACAAACTAAGGAGCGGGAAAGGGGGGTGGGGTGGAGTGACAACGTGGGGAAGCCTTCACGAACTGAGGAGCAATCACAAACCGAAAGCGGCGAGAGCGTCAAAGTAGCCAGAAGTCATTCATTTTCAATGAGAACTGGCGGCGAGAAACAGCGCGACGCGTCTTCTTTGGTGTGAGCGTCGAGGAGAGTTGAAATCAAGTCAACTTTATGGTATGAGCTATGACGCGGTTCGGCGGAAAGCAATCAGAATGAAGTAGTCCACCGCTTGAAAGGTGTTTAGAGAACAGAGACCTGTGAACTTTGGTTCGGACCACAGTTATTCCCAAGAGTTTGATTATTGCGGCTGCCGGATTTTCAATTATTGAAAATCGCGACGACGCGGGGCCCCCTAATCACGCGGGCCCCCCCGCTATGCCACTGATTATTACTTATTGGGCCTAAATCCTGCACACAGAAGATCTCACAACTCGACCTACAATTAGAGGGATACAAAGTTAGCGTTAGCTCTACTATCAAAGATCTGGGTGTCATATTTGACAGCAGTTTAACTTTTAAAAATCATATCTCGCATGTCACAAAAACTGCCTTTTTTTAATCTGTGAAATATCGCTAAGTTACGAAGTATGCAATCCATCTCAGATGCAGAAAAGCTAGTCCATGCTTTTATGACTTCTAGGCTGGATTACTGTAATGCTGTTTGCTGGCTGCCCAGCATCCTCTATTAACAAACTTCAGCTAGTACAAAATGCAGCTGCCAGAGTTCTTACAGGTCTAGAAAATACGATCATATCACCCCAATTTTATCCTCCTTACACTGGCTGCCTGTTCAGTTTCGTATTGAATTTAAAATATTGCTTCTTACCTAAAAGCCTTTAAATAATCGAGCTCCTGTTTATCTAACCAACCTTCTGTCTCGCTACAATCCAACCTGCTCTTTAAGATCTCAAAACTCAGGGCTTCTGGTAGTACCTAGAATAGCAAAGTCAAGTAAAGGAGGTCGAGCCTTCTCCTTTATGGCTCCTAAACTCTGGAATAGCCTTCCTAATAATGTCCGAGGCTCAAACATGCTCTCGCAGTTCAAAACTAGATTAAAGACCGATCTTTTTAGTAAAGCATACACTCAGTGCATCACTTAGCTCAGCTCTGCACAAGACGTTCGGTCAGAGGAGAAATGGTCGTGCCCAACTGAGCCTGCTTTCTCTCAAGGTTTTTTAATTTTTCACTTTCACCAATTGGTGAAGTTTTCTCCTCCCCGCTGCCAACACTGGCTTGCATTGTTAGGGAATTTTAGAGCTGTGCATTGATGGATTTGCTCTTCAGTGTTTGGACTCTCAGTAGTGATTATTAAACCACACTGAACTGAGCTAAACTGAACTGAACTTAAACTCTGAAAACTGAACTGACACTGTTTCAATTTACTATGATCTTCTATGTGAAGCTGCTTTGACACAATCTACATTGTAAAAGCGCTATACAAATAAAGCTGAACTGAATTGAATTAAAAATGATAAACCAATTAACTGTTTATTTGAACATCCTTCACAGTAACAGATGTGAACTGTGATTGGGCTGATTTTCATTCTTCATTCTGAACATGTTTTGAGTCTGTTACCGATTGGATCTTTTTCTGGCACCTGACAACCTTGGATTGAGCTGAAGACGATAAACGAACCTCGGCCTTCAGCCTCTCGATCTCTGTATCCTGGTCCTCCAGTTGAGTCCGGAGCTGATTTGCCGCCACCTTTTCCGTCTCCATGATCTGCACCAGATGGATGTATTTCTGCATGAGAACTTCCCGCTCGATGATCAGATCTGAATAACTGCCGGCGACAGCAGAAGGACAAAGAAACATATTTAGAAACATTTTCCAAGAAAACCTGAAATAAATTAACGAGCTTTACTTCAGAAACCACAAACAAACGCAAAACAGGAATCGATTCAAATGTTTGCCATGACTTTACTTGAAGGGGGTTTATCACGGAAAAATAAATGCTGGGTTCCACACTATCGATTTGTGTTGGAACAACATGAAGGAATTAATCTAACTTATTAGTTTTGACAAATTTAAGTGGCTTTAACTTAAAACAGTTAAGTTGTCGGTGACGCGGTGGCGCAGTGGGTAGCACAATCGCCTCACAGCAAGAAGATCACTGGTTCTAGCCTTGGCTGGGTCAGTTTGCATGTTCTCAGTGTTCGCATGGGTTTCCTCAGGGTGCTCCGATTTCCCCCACAAGACCAGACATATAGGTGAATTGGATATGTTAAAACTGACCGTACTGTATGAGTGTGTATGGATGTTTCCCAGTGCTGGGTTGCAGGTGGAAGGGCATCCGCTGCATAAAACATATACTGGATTTGTTGGCGGTTCATTGTGCTGTGACAACCCCAGATGAATAAAGGGACTAAGCCGCAAAGAAAACGAATGAATGAATAAATTAATGAATGAAGTTGTCCCCAAAAAAACTCTGAACAAACATAAAACATCATTTTTTGAGTGTAATTATTGTCTCCAAATATCCAGGAGACCGGGGGGAGGGGGTGTTCGGGGGTGAGGTCTCTGAAAAACACTGTTAAGAACCGGGATAGCATGCAGCGAGTTTTGGGCGGCTGCTGTGATCGGGTACTGTACCAAGGTTGGCGACCTGGGGGTATTTACAGACTATACCAAACAAAAACAAAAAAAGGGGGAGGGGGGGTGAAATTACAGGAGTAAATCCGGCAGAAATAACAAAACGGGATGGTTGCGGGAGATTGGTCTGAAATACGGGAGACTCTCGGGAAAAACAAGAGTGTTGGCAGGTATGCTTATAATGGCCTCACGACAATCATGTTTATGACAGATTTATGACGAGTTGTAATGTCAGGACAGATTATGATGTATTTGTTTATGTCAAGGTGTTATCTTAAAATGGCATAAGTGAGTTAATTAAACTTAACGACAGTTGTCAAAAGCATACATACTTCATGACAGTCTTTTAAACTCCCCCTTCAAGTAACGTCATGGAAGTTCAGAAGTCTTGTAATAACCCCCAGTAACACTCCAGGGTTTTCCAATATTACAATGAGTGTCTTATAAAGGGGTTAAACTCAAGGGAACATTGACTGGATAATATTTTGTAACCTCATGTAGCTTTGTTTATGATTTTTGAAGTTGAAAACCAGCCAATGTTACTTCTTTCTTACAAAATGTGCAGAGAAACACATATATATTGGATGCACAAAATTTGATGTCAACAAACTTTAACATTTATAAGCCTACTTTTTTATCATAACAATATATGCTTGTGTGGTGAGTCGTATTTTATCATATCCATCCAGTATTGAATCCCCTCCAATCGGAATTCACAGACAACCACTACTGATACAAAGATTTTGGTGAAATCTGACATACTGACAGATAAAATTGTGCTTGCTTTCCTACTTCATATTAAATCCATCAAAACTACATGCTGCTATAATGAAGCTTTTAGTTAAAGCCGGTTTAGTAAAGGCATCACTGAGGTCTTAATCTATGAACCACATGCAAAAACTGTGACGTAACAGTCAGACACAACATCATTTTTTCTATTACATATCAGTGGTTCTTGATTCTTTTGCTAATATGTATATTTACCTTTACCGGCCACTTTATTAGGTACACCTTACTAGGACCAGGTTGGATCCCCTTTTGCCTTCAGAATGGCCTTTATTCTTCGTGGCATAGATTCAACAAGGTACTGGAAATATTCCTTAGAGATTTTGGTCTATGTTGACATGATAGCATAACACAGTTACTGCAGATTTGTCGGCTGCACATCCATGATGTGAATCTCCCGTTCCACCACATCCCAAAGGGGCTCTACTGGATTGAGCTCTGGTGACTGTGGATGGAATTTGAGTACAGTGAACTCATTGTCATGTTCAAGAAACCAGTCTGAGATGATTCACACTTTATGATATGGTGTGTTATCTTGCTGGAAGTAGCCATCAGAAGATGGAACCGTTGATACAAGGCAGGATGGACTCATGCTTTCATGTTGTTGATGCCAAATTCTGACTCGACCATCTAAATGTGAAAGTTTTGGTGAGCCTGTGTGAAATGTAGCCTCAGTTTCCTGTTGTTAGCTGACAGGAGCGGCACCCGGTGTGGTCTTCTGCTGCTGTAGCCCATCTGCTTCAAGGTTGGACGTGTTGTGTGTTCAGAGATGCTCTTCTGCAGATCTCGGTTGTATCGAGTGCTTATTTGAGTTACTGTTGCCTTTCTATCAGCTGGAACCAGTCTGGCCATTCTCCTCTGACCTCTGGCATCAATAAGGCATTTGCGCCCACAGAACTGCGGCTCACTGGATATTTTCTCTTTTTCCTATCATTCTCTAGTAGAGCAGCAGTTTCTGAAATACTCAGACCAGCCCGTCTGGCACCAACAAACATGCCACTTTAAATTCACTTAAATCAGCTTTCTGATGCTCGCTTTGAACTGCAGCAGATCGTCTTTATCATGTCTACCAGCCTAAATGCATTGAGTTGCAGCCAAGTAATTGGCTGATTATTAATTTGCGTTGAAGAGCAGTTGGACAGGTGTACCTAATAAAGTGGCCAGTAAGTGTGCGTGTGTGTGTGTGTGTGTATATATAGAATATATTAGATTGAGATATGTCACATTTGATTGAATATTCTTGTAAATTTGAGCATTATCACATTTGTAACACTATATAACTACTTAAATGTGGGTGAGCTGACGTTAGTTTAGACTCGATTACACACTTTAGTAATGTCTCTCAATATTTTGAATCTGTTTTTTCTGTACTTCTTTAATACTTTGTACTTTTCTAATACCATTTGTCATGTTTAACAGGTTTTATTTTTCATGTGTCTTTATAGTTTTTTATTAAGTTAGAATTCGTTTTTCAAGTAGTTTAAGCTAAACAAAAATGCATAACCAGTGCTTAAAATAAAGAAAAAAAAGTGAAGTTTTATTTAATCAGGTAAAATTTTATACCAAGTAACAAACAGTATTTGATATGTTTTCATTGTTAACCCTGGTGTGAGATTATAGGAACACTTTGCTCAGGACATTTTCCTTTCCTACAGAAAAACTGACATGCTAAAACAGCTCAGGAAACATCGATTCTCCAAAGATGCTACTTCATGTGGTTAGTGTTTTGATTGTACCTGGCCTGCTGAATGACCTCCACCCACTCATTACAATCAGCTTCTTCTTCTGACCGCAGCTCCAGAGGTTTCTGCCCATCGTGGCCGAAAATCACCAAGAAGTAATGCTAAAAAAGATGAGAAATGTAACATCAGAGCGTGGCAACCACAAATCAGCATTCGGTATGGCATTTGGCCTATATGGTGAGCAGCATTAAGCCCCATTCACCCAGGGCGTCAGTGTCGACGCCTCCCAGTTGCTTGCTGTAGAAGCACCAACGGAAGCATCAGCCAATCATATCGCTTTATGCATACACCCCCAGCTCAGACAGTAGCCGACTGCGATCTTATTTCATTAGCTAACGCTCCTATGAAAATCTCGTCAGCTCCAACTTCAGACACGCTCTTCAACAAGTGTTAACGCTAGAGCCCCGTGTGAATGTAAGGATTCCTATTTTGCCCCTTTTTACTTTGTGTATTCAGAATGTGCAACCCAGGCTCATTGGAGATATGTGCCCAGGGCTACATTTTTGAGAAACGAGAAATATGTACTCAAGGCTACATGTGCTTGCAGGTTTTGTTTTCACAAAAACAAGATACTGACCATTTTTTTGTATCAAATTAGTCCCCAGGGCACTTTTTCTCATATGTGCCATTTGTGATAAATCCACCAGAGGCCGATGTGTACATCTCAACGTCTTTCTCAAGTGCATCCATTAGAGAAGCTGGTCAGCATGTCGTCATACATAAGTGTGAAAAATTGATTGCCCTCTTACTGATTTCTTATATTTTTACATGTTTGTCACACTTTAAGACTTCAGTTCATAAAACAAAATTAAATATTAGTCAAATATAACTTAAGTAAACACTCAATCATTTTGACACTTTTTATTATTAAGGGAAGAAAAAATACAAAACTACATAACTCTGTATGAAAAAGTGTTTGCCCCTAAACCTAATAACTGGCTTGGTCACCCTTAGCAGCGACAATCAAGCGTCTTCAATAACTTGTAATGAGTCTGCTACAGCGCTGTGGAGGAAATCTTTGCAGAGTTGTTGTAATTCAGCCACATTAGAGGGTTTAAGAAGGTCATTCTACAGCATCTCAATTGGATTCAGATCAGGACTTTGACTAGGCCGCTCCAAAGTCTTCATTTTGTTCTTCTTCAGCCACTGAAAAGTGGACTTGCTAGTGTGCTTTGGATTATTGTCAGTAAAATTATAAATTACTTTTCTATTATATTTAGGCCCAATCTCAATTCTTTTTTTATTAATCTGGGGTCACCACAGCGAAATGAACCGCCAACTTATTCAATCATTCATTTTGTTTTCGGTTCAGTCCCTTTATTAATCTGGGGTCGCCACAGCGGATCGAACCGCCAACTCATCCAGTATACGTTTTATGCAGCGGATGCCCTTCCAGCTGCAACCTATCACTGGGAAACAACCATACACACTCATTCACACACATACACTACGGACAAATTAGCCTACCCAATTCACCTGTACCGCATGTCTTTGGACTGTGAGGGAAACCGAAGCACCCGGAGGAAACCCACGCGAATGCAGGGAGAACATGCAAACTCCACACAGAAACGCCAGCTGAGCCGAGGCTCGAACCAGGATGTCGTGGTGGCACTTTTGATCATTTTGGAAGGGCACTTTCTATCCAAGACAAAAAAAGGGCATGTGCACTGCACAGGTTGAGCCCTATGTGTGCACGTGCCTGTCTACCATATTGCGGTTTACTAAAAAGTAAAAAAAAAAAAGTAAAAAGTATACCGTAAAATTTTAGAATTAAGTTTCTACCATATTTTAGTTCACCGTAATATGGTACCCTGTACAATTTCTAAATAACGTTTCTACCTTGTTTTTAGCTGTAAAATTCTGGCAACCACACAGCTGCTGTTTTTTTTACAGTGAATAGTGTCCAGATTATTTTTCACAGAGATGTATTGCTTGCTGTTAGTTAACGTTAGTCAACTATGGGGACTTCAAAATACAGTGTTACTTAAAAATGACTAAATAGCAAGCATGTTACCAACACACGGTAGAAAAGAAATCATAATAAATCATGTCTGGAATCCTCGGCTTGATTTTCTTTAAGCTAAATTGGTTTTCTTATATACAGTGATTTGATTACGGATAGAAATGTAATCTGGCCTCGTTCTTGACCCGTTCACCCTCAAATAAGTGATGGAGCGATGCAGCGAGGCTCTGAGTGTGTTTTATAGGATGTAGGCTTAAGGGCTCGAAGCGCGGCTGGTGTGTGTGTGTGTGTGTGTGTGTGTGTGGTTATGTAAGCCGAGCTTCTCCTCTGTCTTTAATGCGCTGTCCTGAGCCTCAGGCCTTGTTTAAACCGAGAGATAACAATAGACACGGTCGGCCCACAAATACAGCGACCCACAGAACTATCAGCTCCCACTGAATCCCGTTCAAATCACGGCTACTGTACAGTAAACACAGCTCTTCAGAGCAAACTTCATTAACAGGTCAGAATCCACATTCACATCTGACTCGTTTGCATAATTTTCCCTAGCAGCGCTGTACGCATGTTTTATCATGCATATAAAAGCACACAGACTGTCCTGCCGAACTCGTGCACTGTAGACTTTCATTCAAATAGCCGTGTCTAAGAGAAACACGCAGCCCGAAGCGCTACTATTCTTAGACGACGACCTCACAATACCGCAGGAATCATGGAAAACTCTGCTTCAAGAGGGATTGCATTTGTAAGGACACCATAGCAGATATTAATACAACAAAACAGCTTTGAAATAGTCTCAACCCAACTCAACTCAATTCATCTTTATATCTATAGCGCTTTTACAGTGTACAGTTTAGAATTATTAGCCCCCTTTTTTATTTACTTTTTTAATTGTTTCCCAAATGATGTTTAACAGAGGAAGGAAATTTTCACAGTATGTCTGATAACATTTTTTCTTCTGGAGAAAGTCTTGTTTGTTTTATTTTGGCTAGAATAAAAGCAGTTATTCATTTTTTTAAAAACATTTTTGAGACAAAATTATTAGCCCCTTTAAGCTAATTTTTTTCCCCCGGATAATCTACAGAGCAAACCATCGTTATACAATAACTTGCCTAATAACCCTAACCTGCCTAGTCAACCTAATTAACCTAGTTCAGCCACTTTACACAGCAAAAATTGCTTTTCTTACTTAGATTTTTTGTCTTGTTTCTAGTCCAAATATCTAAAAGTTCTTAAATCAAGAAGTATTTTCTAGAC